CCAACCTCAAAGGCTCCTCTCTCTCTCTCTCCCCTCTCTCATCATCCTGTTCGAAAATATTTGGGTTGAAATGGGCCAACAATTTGGTGATACCTCGCTCACCAAGGTTTTTGTTGGGGGTTTGGCCTGGGAAACTCAGGGGGGTGCCCTCAGGGAGCATTTTGAGAAGTATGGAGACATTCTTGAGGCCGTGATCATCTCCGACAAGGTCACCGGTCGATCCAAAGGCTACGGATTTGTAAGTATAATTTTGAAAAGACAATTTATATATGATTGATCGAAGTTAGTTAACAACATTAACTATGTTAAAGATAGTCAATATCCTTAAATAAACCACCCGAAATAATTTTGACATGGTAGAGTACCGTTTTTGTGATTTTCATGAATATCTTTCAATTACTACGAAGGAGACCTTAATGGTACGATAAGTTTACGTATAATGTATTTTAACTATATATATCAAGTTTTTTTTTAAATCGAAGCTTTTATATCGATCGATCATGCAGTTAGTTATGTATATGTAACATTTATACAGGTGACGTTTAAAGAAGCAGAAGAAGCAAGGAGAGCTTGTGAGGACCCGACTCCAATGATCAACGGTCGCCGTGCAAACTGTAATTTGGCCTCTCTCGGAGCTCGCCGGACAAAAACATCGCCGCCGGCAACTCCGGTGGTGGTCCCGGCCCACCAGCCAGCAGGTTGCTAGTTTTGCATTTTGCACCTCTGATTTAAATTTGTATTTACTGCCAACCATTAACGTTTTTTAATTATAATTGTTAGGCCGGAGGACGGTGTCGAATGCACCGCCGCCACAATGGTACTATGCTCCGGCTGCCGGAACGCCGCAGCCACCGCCGTCCGCTGTTCATCATTATCCTGCTGTGCTCCCTTACTATGCTGCTGGTGCTGCTTATGGGTACGTAGTTAACAATTCTCTTGTTAATTCTAGGAAAATGATTAGTGGTCCCTATATAAAATATAGGGAAGAAAGTAGAAATAGAATGTAACATGTATTCTTGAATATAAATATTATCAGAACATTGTGCAGGCGAATAATTAATATGTTCTAAGCTATGAGAAAGACAGTTAAAATCTCCAAAAATATACGTTGGATATGTTTTGACAATTTTTTTTATTATGTGCCCTAGTATTGATTTGGATGTTTCGACAAAATTTATACTGTGCATTCTAGAATCAATTTTTAGATTAATCGTAAACAATAAGTAATATCAGTAAGTGAAAATGGTTAAAATGTTTATACAAACAAAATATTGTATCTTGTAAGGGGCTGTTTGGTTGTATGTTTTTACCATGTAAAAGGATGGAAAGTATAAAAAAGTGGGTCCCAATGTCAGCTTTCATCACTTTCAATTGTTTGTTTGTAGTTGTGAAAATAGTGTAAAGTGATTTCATATGCTGATGTGGCTTGTAAAGTGATTTCATAAAAAAAGACATGATTTTAGAAGAAAGCTAACATTGAAGTCAGGAAAAAATAATAAAAAAAAATTCTAACCAATATGATCATTTGAGTAGGGATCACTTTTTACACTTTCCAAACAAACAATTAAAGTTACATTTGCAAACCAAACAAGCAATTTATGATTCCAATGGAATCAAAAACAAACAAAGAAAAGTATAAAAGTAAAATTGATGAGGTGGACAACAACTTTCCAAATTGTGTCATAAATACACAACTTTACCAATAACAACCAAACAGCCCCTAAACGATGCACAGTGAAATACTAACTTCTTTCAAGGAACCAAATACAAGATTTAAAGTGGGTATTTTCGCAAAGTGATCTCCGGATTGGAAAAAAAAAACTGAAATTCTTACTGAGATCTTTATTTATTTGTTGTTGGAGTCAAGTCAAAGATAGTTAAGCAATCTGCACTGCTGGCGCCCGCAAAGAACTTGCAAATTATTGTGGGCCCCACGGCTGCACTCGCGACACTAGGCATATGTCCGCTGACAGGCCCATGTGAGAGTAAATATTTAAGGCCCAAAAGTTGGATGACAGCCTGTTTCTGTTTTGGGTTGCTGCGTGTGCTCACATGGGCGTGGGCTGAGGGGCACGTCCGATGTGTAGTTGCTTTGTACAATAAGAAAATTCAGTGACGAATAAATTAAAATATTAGGCTTTTTAAATAAAGATCTAAGCAGTTAATATTTTTCTTATTGTTTATTCTTGCAGGTACCCTCCTTCCTACATGACGGATTTGGGCTACAATCCTGTAAGTTACAATTAGCCGTGGTCCAACTTTTTTTTATCCACAGCAATAAGAATATGAGATCTAATGTCTGCACTTATTATGATCATATAATAACTAAGAGCTTTGCTACAGGGACCCAAAATATGGGACCAATAGAGGGGACAAGTGAGGTGTTCCCCTCCTATTGGATAATAAGTTGGCCATCATTAATGATGACCAACTCATTATCCAATAGGAGGGGGACACTTCACTTGTCCCCTCTATTGGTCCCATATTTTGGGTCCTCGAGGAATTTTTCAATAACTAAAGTTGCATACTGTTAAGCGAAACTCACATGGTTGTCAAACAAAGAAACCATGCACAACTCAAATAAATAAAATATGTTCTGATATTATAGTAAACAAGAATGATACCCTTTTGGCCTTTTATATGTACATCGAAGACTACATGTAAAAGAGTGGCGCTACAGGCACACCTTCTGCCACACCTCTGGCCACACCCCCTCCCTCGCTACAGTGCAGGGGGTCCCACTTGGGATTTTTTTTAAAAATCTCAAGTAGGACTTCCTGCACGGTAACGAGAGAGGGGGTGTGGCCGGAGTTGTGACAGAGGTTGTGCCTGTATCATTTTCCCATGTAAATAGAACAAATGTGAAATATACATTATAGAACAGTTGTAATAAGCCTGTACAGGGCAACTGTGTCTTTAACAAGTTTTCCTACAAAATGAATGGTTATTAGGAAAGAAACGAAAAAGAAATGCTTTCGACATGGTAAGTTCAAATAATCATGAAGCGCGCAATATTTCATGTACAACTCATTTGTCTTAAAACACCATGATTGTCATCCATAATAATAGACAATCACAATAGTAGTTCACAAATTTTATTAACATCTATCATAACATTTTCTTTGTGACAAATCAGAAGCTGAGTCCCACAGCAACAGCAGGATCCTACGTTCAGGGTCAATACTATCCAGCAGCAGCACAAGGAGGAATGGTTGCTCCAAGTGCAATGATGCCATATTACCCTATGTATCCCTATCATCACCACTCGCAAGCCATGGCCGGAGTTCACGGCCATTTCTTCCCTCCGACGACCTCTGGTACCATCGCCACCATCACCCGCCATGCCTTCGACCACAGGTAATTCACACGCACTTTTAAGTTTTTTCAGAAGATAAATGCTGTCGGAGCACTTTACGGCATTCTCAAATTTGAAGAATACAAATCTTATCAGAAACACTCAGCATGCGAATAGGTTTTCCAGTTAAAAACTCCAAACTACGCTCATATTTTTCCTCTGATGTCTCCGCGAGAAAACATATGTGGATGGTAGAGTGGAAATCTGATCAGAACGCTCTGCATACGAGCAGAATGTTTTGAACCATATATGAGGGGAGTCATCTAGCAGTTCGAAGATTTCAACTGTCCCCTCTATATTTCAGAAACATCCTGCTCGCATTGCGTGCATGGGTTTTTAATAAAGATTTGTATTCGAATTTACGCCATTCAAATGGATGTGACACCAAGACACATCTCAGTGATAGATATGTGTTATTTCTTGTGTTCATTTGTATTGATCTCTTTCCATTGATGTTTCAGTCTGTGTGGCAGTGGAACAGGTTACAGGATGCAGCTAAAGTTTTCAAGGGGGAAAGTGTGAAATTGGAAAGATCTTGTAACAGAAGGGAAGAAAAAAAAAAGAACTTGAGTATCTGATGAAAGATTATTCTTTTTAAATGTTGGTTTTTCATTAAGATCTATTGGATTCATTTATTTCCCTCTAACCTGCATCATCTTGATGCTGATTTGTAACAAAGGGTACTTCTAGTTTGCCAAATTATTGTGGTAAACTTTTAATGGCTGTAGCTGAACTGTATTGATTGAATGGAATTTGAGGGTACCTTCGAATAACTATAATCGCGAATCTAATTCTTCCCTTTTTTTTAACTTACTGCTTGAAATTTTTCCACCAACTAAACTAAATAAAGGTTTTGAGAAGTTTCACCAAAAAAGCTTAAACAATGAGGTGACTCAAACTCAGTCCCCAAGAACAGAGCATCATGATGCTCAGAGAGAAATTCATCCAGAAATAGGAATAAAATTGCAGCCAGCATATTGAATGGAACGGATTGGAAGTGTTTTTTTTTGGAAATTTATCAAATAAAATTATAGCATGTAAAATAAATCCGAAATAAAATAATAAGAAAGCCTGACCTGATAGGGAGCTGTCGTGTAAACACTGCCCTAGAAGATTGAGGACCCGCCTATCGTCCTGACGCAATGATCCTCTCTCCCCTAGCGGTAAAAACCCCCGGAAGCGGCCGACCTCTGTACTCGAGCGAAAGAACAGAGCTTCAGCTTAGACGAAGAACGGTTGCCCGAAAATAACACCAACATATGAACGAAAATAATATGTAGAGGAGAGAAGAGGAAGAAGAGAGAATTGTTTCTGTGTATATTTCGAATGTGAATAAGGGATGTATATATAGGGTTGAGACAGCCATTACAATTCCTACAATTAATACGGTAATGTTCGTCATAAATTTTCGTAATGTTCCTCGTAGTGTATAGTCATTACGCACATTTTAATTTTATTCATAACACTATTCCATGTGGGACTATTCATGAAGGCAAAATTGCCTTTTCTCCAACAAAACATCCAACATTTTTTAGGAATTTGATAACAATTTTGAGCAGTAGAAACTTATTCTTTTCTATTAGCAAGATAATTCTGAAAGGCATACAGAAAGACAAGAATGCTAGTGACTGTACGAAAACATGCACGAACTTACAATATCAGATTGTAGCGTACACAAAACCTAACAGAAATTTAACTTGTTTCTCCAAATAGGGAAATTTAGTTTCCTCTCAAAAACAAAATGTAGCATACAAAACCTAACATGAACATGCACAGAATGGCGAGAATACTTCCGAGTAGTGAACAAAAATTTATGACATAAGAGCGTAGCATACAAAACATAACACGAACTTATCCTCTTCCTCCAAAAAAGAAACTTAACTTCAAACATAACATGAACTTATCCTCTTCCTCCAAAAAAGAAACTTAACTTCAAACATAACATGAACTTATCCTCTTCCTCCAAAAAAGAAACTTAACTTCAAACATAGCATGAACTTATCCTCTTCACCCCGTTTGGACAGTTTTCTATAGATGAAGAGTTCCCCATATTCTACCTTAGCTTACCCTCATCAACGCAAAAATAGTTCGCCCCCAAATTGGGGTGTAATGAACTCCCTTAACTTTCATTCTCTTATCTTCTCTAATTTCCCTTAACTTCACTTACCCCATTGAATTCCAAACACGCCCATGCATTCTCTTATCTTCTCTAATTTCCCTTAACTTCACTTACCCCATTGAATTCCAAACACGCCCATGAGGCCGAGGATCGATCCATGTATATGGCAATGTGTAATCCAAATATCTAATTATTAAATATTGTAACACTCTGCTATTCACCTAGGTCTGGACTGCGAAGGGAGGGATTGCGGAGGGAGGGGCGACTATAAGCTCCAAGATTTACTTGGTTGGTACTAACCTAAGGGCTTGTTTGGATTGAGGGGAATGAGGGTGAAGGGAAGTTAGGGGAACCATTCACCTCCATTCACCTTGTTTGGGAACACTTAGGAGGTGAAGTTAATTCACCCTAGTTCCCCTTGGTTCACCCCCTAATAGTATAAAATTTTTTACCCCCAAATTGGAGTGTAACCAAGGGGAAGGGAACTCCCTTCCCTTCCCTTCTCTCAGTTTCCCTTAACTTCCCTTCACCTCTTACAAATCCAAACATGCCCTAAGGTTCCTCACAACAATAAATAAATAAATGATGACCTTTAGCTTCTTTCCCATACTAGAGGCAGTATAATTCATTCACATCTGAAAAAGATGGCATAGAAATCAGAATAAAAGATCCAGACTATATTTATTAGCCAGCTTCACACGACACTCAGAACAGAGAATCAACAACACCGACTATTGTAGACCCTCTCTAGATATCTTTCAGTAAACAAAATTAACAGCTATTGCATTTATCACCCTTTTCTGAATCACTATGGTAGAAACAATCATATATAGTCATAAAAGGCATATATCAAGAATTTACGAAAACTGAGGATGCTATTGACAGAAAAGGCGACAAAATGGACACTAGCACGATAAAGATTGTTGCCATCTCTCTTCAATCAAGATTAAACATCATTTCAATATGTTCAGAGGTTCTGAGGAAAAAGAAAGTGCTACAACAAAATCAAACGCTAAACTCAACAAAGCATATACTCATGCAAAGTCCAGAGATCGGGACAAAAACTCTCTAAGATCTAGGCTTCTCCTTCTTCTCCTTGAAGAGTGCCAAAAGGGACACACCTGATACCTTCACAACCTTGAACCTGACTCCAGGAATATCACCAACGGCATGCCCCTTACGACCGAATCCAGCAATCAACACTTCATCCTGCAATTACACAAAAATTAGGGAATTAGAAAATAAATGCAATCAGGCTTTTTAATAAATTGGAGAATAGAGACGTCAAAAGCATACGTTTTCCTCGATGTAGTTTAAGCAACCATCATTTGGCACAAAGGCGGCAATCTTCTTCCCGTTCTTGATCAACTGAACTCTAGCACACTTACGGATGGCAGAGTTCGGCTGCTTTGCCTCAATACCTCTGTAATTTTTTTTTCCATAAATTCATGAATCGGTAAAATTTTAGTCACAAAAAGTTTCATAAAGTATAAATTTTGCTTACATCTTTTCCAAGACAATGCCCTTGGCATGAGAAGAGCCAGCAAATGGCTTCTTCCACTCGTTACCAAGGTGACTCTTCTTATATGCCTTGTCAGCCCACCTCTGGTTCCTTCGGTGGGTCTTCAGCTTGCGCCCAGCTCCCATACCACGAGTTTTCCTGTTAACAAAATTGAATTGTTAAGCATCGGGAAAAAAACATTACCATTATATAAAAAAAATTAGGGGCAAGTTGCAACAAATGTATCAATTTAATAAACATAGAAATTATTTGAAAGATTAACGCCAACAACAACCATCCAGAACATTCTGGCCAGAACTTTCTTTAAACAAAAACCATTCAGAACTAAAATTGGAAAACAAAAACATATATAATCCATTTTATCTAAACTCACTGTCTGGTATAATTGCAAGAAAAATTAATGCAGAAAATGCAACAATCTAATAATGTGTATTTTATATTAAAAAAAGAAGTCAAATGAACGGTTATCGATTTTGCTCATACATGTAAAACTATGTCCATAACACTTGATTATGCTCATACATGTGAAGAATAAAGACTGAAAAAAACATTAGACAATCAAAATTTGAATTTTTAAAAGCATTTCTTAGATACATCATAAGTTATTACATATTAAACCACGGATAATAAGAACCCTTGTCATCCTCGTGTTAGTGAAAACAATAAAATAGAAGTCCAATCATTGAGCTCTTATCAATTTTAGGTAACCTGTGTCAAAGAAAACAACTAATCGAAACATAGTCAGAACTGAACAGAAAACCTAAACAAAAACCAACTATAAAAGACTTGGTAATGCACAATTTGAATGGGTGGTTTGCTGTTTCAGATAGCAATGCAGGTTCTTTGACTATATACCGATTACCAATTATACATTGCTACTACTATTAATAAAAACATAGAAGTGCTTTCTTCTTGTCTTTGATAACCATTACCACAATCTAACCTTCATAACAAGCCATTCTTTTAATATTTTTTTATTTTACTCAACAAATCAATCCCCTCAAAGTACACCAAGCAAATATTTCTTCAGCCTCACAAAACATTGTCTTGAATTTTTAGCTAGCAAGAGGCCTTGAAGATTTGCGGTACAAGACATATTTTAATCTATCGAAAGGCATGCTACCTCTCCATAGACATGTACAGACAAGGCACTCAAATGATCAGTGCATCTTGAAAAGGTTAAGAGTTTCGTAGATATAGCGACCATGCCACACATTCCCTTAGCACATTAATTCGCCAAAGAAAAAAGTTCTAATATATGAGTTCCTTAGTGCTACTTCAGCTTACGGCAATGTGAGTGCTGATGTGCAAGTTCTAAATAAGCACTAGGCCGTAATCCCGAAAAGGGAGAACACAATTATAGAGCAAGACTCCTATCAACTTAAGTTGATGTCCACCAAAGTTCCTAGCCACACATTTATTAATATACAAGACTCCTATCAACTTAAGTTGATGTCCACCAAAGTTCCTAGCCACACATTTATTAATATAAAACATCTTTTTATATAATACAAGTCCACCAAAGTTCCTAGCCACACATTTATTAATATAAAACATCTTTTTATATAATACAAGGATCCCTAGGCAATATGAGTAGTTAAAAACTTTGGTGGACACACTATTCTCTATCCACTTAAGTTGACACAAGTTTTCACCCACAATTATATTCAAATTATGACGTTCAAAATGGAACTTTTTAAACAATAGAGGGGGATATCAATACAGCTAAGAAGTGAGAGAAGCTTATATAACTAACAAACATATGTCAGTATATCTAACAGATTAAACATTATATTTCCCACAATTTAAGCAATGTGCAATAGATTGATCATGGCAAATCGCTAGCTTCTACAATAAAATTGGTACTTGAAAAACTCTGGAAACATCAAGAACAATAAGCAATATCAAACTTCACATGTTGGGCATCTCAATTTTTCCAAATAAAAAATAAAAAAAAATTAAATCTGAGAAAATAACGAATGTGAGCCGCCAAGTCCCATGACCCAGCAACAACAAATAATAAAGGACAATGAAAGACAAGGCGGCGCATAATTTCGTATAGCTTGTGATAATGTTAGGTGCTGAAAACTCAAAATATCCTTCAGCACCGGACCGTCATCAAGCACGCATGAATTCGGAACTAAAGATAAGAGTTGAATCTTAGAAAAAGAGAAAGAGGAGATCTTTTTTTTTTCATTCTTTATTACCCCATTTTTGAATGAAGAGAGATGGAACTCCTGAGATCTACGAGGATCAGTTCCAAGCGCCGCCCGCTCGCTAGGGTTTCAAGAAGCTCAGAAGAGAACGGTATGAGATTCGAGAGGATTATATAAAGGAGGCCGAAACAAGGGTTGTAGGGCATTCGGGTAAATGGGCCGTCCCTGAGTCTGTATGGAGCGAGCTGGGCCTATGTCATAAGGCTACATTGAAGGGCTTTTATTGGTTTTGCTGGGCGCACGTGATGCGTGCTCGTAAAATTGTGCATATAAAAAGGGATTTTAATTTTAGGACAAATTTTTAAAAGCACCCATTTTTAATAATTAAATATCAAAAACGACTATAGAATTTTTTTTAGCAAAACCGACCATTTTCTGTTATTTTCCTCACAATAACAGAAATGAAGTGTACGAGACTAGTAGTCCCCAAATCACAATAACAGCAAAAACGATCATTTTCTGAAGAAAATTGTTGGTTTTGCTAATTTTTTCCCAAATGGCCGTTTTTGATATTTAAATATTAAAAACGGGTGCTTTCAAAAAATTATCCTTAATTTTAACATCTTAAAAATGAATACTGATGTTAAGAAAATTTAAAAATAACAAAGTGATATAAAGCAATTTATTGCTAGAAAATGTGGGGAGTGGGACGAGTTATCGAGTAGTGGATGATATTTAGCGTAATTTTAAATATTTTCAATTTGGTTCTTCTAATTAGTTTCAATGTACAGTAGATTACATTTGTTAATTTCCTTAAAATTTTGAAGGGAGAGAACCAAAAGCGTAACTTTTTTTAAATAATTTTAATTTTGTTCTTCTAATTAGTTTCAAGATACAATATAGTACATATGTTAATTTCCTTAAAATTTTGAAGGGTAGAACAAAAAATGTAACATTTTTAAGAAAGTGTAACTTTTCTTAAATAATAATAACAGACATTGTATAAGCTTTCAGATGTGCAGCATAATATCTTTCTTACTGTGATATATAGCAATTTTGATAATAAATACATTGAGTAAAGTTATGAGGCTTTGTTAAGATTAAAAGGGAGTCAATAAGGTTCACATAGATTTCTCACACTTATCTATTTATATATATTTATATTTACCCTTTAAAAGAGGGAGTTCTTAAAAAACTTTCCTAATCCCAAAATACCCTTCAATTATTGTGAATATAACAAAGTTATCCTCATCTTTCATTTCAAGC